TCGAATACCTGAATTATTTATTACACAGTATCTATATCTGTTGAGAATAGGGGCTTTGAGTTTTTCTTCTTTCAGAATATCTTTTGTAACATCCAGCATCACGTCAGAATGTCTTATTAGAAACAATATGTTGGGTATTTTGGCAAAGGATGAGAATGGATAGGTTAGGCCTTTTTTTGCTCGAGAAGAGACGTTTAAGGGGGACCAAATAGAAGTGTTCAAAATTATAAAAGGGTTCAATAAGATTAATGTAAATAGGTTGTTTATACTGATCAGGGAGTCCTTAACCAGGGGACACTAATAAAAGATAGCAACTAGGGGAACATGTTAATAATAAGACTCATGTGATGTATAAACACAGACGTGAGCTGGTTGGGCCGATTGGCTGTTTTCATGCTGTACATTATTTGTAAATTTTCTTTGTAAACAGCTACAGAAACAATTGAGAAAGAGAATAAATTACAACTCAACATTATTTATTCCAACATGTTTTCAAAGCCTCGGAATATCTGATTGAAACAAGCAAGGAGAAGGATTTCAGGGATTCAGGCTTTGATTACTATTTGTTATTACCGTATTAAGTAAATCCGGCCAGGACGTATCTTTAAATTATTTTACGATCGTACCTCTCCTTGACGTTTGGTTGAGAAGATCCAATTTAAAGACTTTTTTTTACTGGTTTCAAACAATTACTCAACTTAGATGAGCTTTACTTTGACCTGTGGCTTTCCAATGTGAATTTTTATGTTTCACATAATGGTTTCAGATGCATTTGACCTTTCAGGCAGCACAAACTATTTAAGCAACTGGACAAATCAGAAATTGCTGTGAGTTTCAGGATCAGTGCTCTCTTTCTGTGGTATATTTCAGTCCTGAATGCTGGTGCGGGCCAGGGAGGGACTGATAACTAGACTTTTACATAACATCCGATTGGGGAAGAACACAAGTGTCTCAAATAATAATAATAATAATAATAATCCTTGCATTTGATATAGCGCTTTTCACGTCGGGAGGACGTCCCAAAGCGCTTCACAGAACACACTGTAAAGTGAATTGACTGTATATTTGTGGGCGAACGTGGCAGCCAATTGCGCACAGCAATGTCCCACAAACAGTCGTGGATTGAAAATGAACAATTTATTATTGTTTTTGGTTTTGGAGGGATTATTATTAGGCGTGTGGAGTAAGGAAACTTGCCCAAGGTTTCGCCCTCTGCCTGGAATTGAACTCAGGTCTCTCGCTTGCAAAGCGAGTGCTCTAACCACTGAGCTACAGGACTCCAAATGACTTTGAGAGGAGCAGTGTTTGAGTAATCTTTTCCTTGGCTGGATTGTGGATCTACTAAAATATATGAAGGCCTCAAAGAGTGAAAAGCTCACAAAGGTGAGGAATTTACTCCTACACTAGACTCAACCTACATTCTGTCTAAGGAGATACGATAATTAGACTGAGAATTCTTCAAAGTGGTGTTAATTATACTTAGTGACTGTCAAAGATTAATGCTTTGGCAATTTCTTCAGCAATAACTTGAAATGTACTTTGTGGATTGATTTAATAGAAATTTATATGGGTCGAATGTGCACTATAAGCAGGACCCAGTTGACTTCAACACTTGAGACTAAATTTAAACTTTCAGAAAACTGATTATAGTTATTCAAAAAATAATGTAGTCATCAATTTTATATCCCCGGTAAGCCAATTGAACCATTGTAAAATAGACTAAGATTTTATGCCCTTGGTACTAAGTTCCAAGGTTTGAGTTTATTTTGAGTTATTTCTAGCTTGGTCATTTGGGTGTCTGACACACTTGGAAAACCTTTACCAGACTTAAGATTATTGAAGCCAAACTAATGAGAGTTCTACATATACATAGGAATTTACATATTCTGAAATGGAATGAATTCTCTCCCCCAAAGGGATGCACCTCACTCACATACGCCCAGAAATCAATGTCATAGGCAAGGCTTGGGGAACCTAGATTGTATAACTACCACACAAGATGGTGCAGGGGCTGGAAGAGAAACCATTGGTGGGGACAAATTGGAGACGGTGTGAGAGATAAGACACAGAACCTTGACGGTTGAGGTGAGAGGAGAGACGGTGGAGGAGGAGTGGTCCTCTACTCTCCGTCACCTTCAATCTCTCCCTTTCTGACACCGTTCCCATCCCCCTAAAAACAGCTACAATCACCCCCATCCTGAAAAAACCTTCCCTGGATCCATCCCTGTCTTCTAACTATCGGCCCATCACCAGCCTCCCTTTTCTTTTGAAGATCCTTGAAAGAGTCATTGCTTCCCAGCTTCGCTCATTCCTCTCCTAACACTTACTTCATGAGCCCCTCCATTCGGGTTTCCGTGCTGCTCACAGCACAGAAACCGCTCTGTTCAAGGTGACAAACGACATTTTGTCCATCTGTGACCAAGGCTCCCTCTGCCTCCCCATCCTCCTCAACCATGGATCACTCTATCCTCCTCCCCCTCCTCAGCACCTCAGGCACTGACAGCATCAGCATCCACGGTTGCACATTCCACTTCATCAAGCCAGTTTAGGAACCTGGGCGTCTTGTTCGACCCTCAACTGTCATTTCTCCCCCATATCCATATCATGACCCACTCTGTCTTCCCCCACCTCCGCAACATTGCCCGACTCCACCACTGCCTCACCCCTATACTACAGAAACTCCCTCCTTGTCGGCCTCTCCAACTTTACCCTTCACAAGCTGTAAATCATCCAGAACTGTGCAAATCACGTCCTCTCCCACACCAGGCTCCATGACCCCATCACCCCCACCCTTGCCCAGCTCCACTGGCTCCCCATCCCTCAGAGGATAGAATTCAAAATCCTCATCCTCACTTTCAAGGCCCTCCATGGCCTTGCCCCCTCCTACATCTCTGACCTGTTGACCCACTTTGCCTTGCTCCTCCTCTTGCCTCCTTCAAGACCTGACTCAAGACCCTCCTTTTTGTCCGTGCCTTCAGCCGCCCTCTTACCCACTCTGCCCTTCGTCATCCCAACCCTGCCCTCCCTCCACACTTGGGTCCTGACTATTCAGCGACTTGGGACATCCTCCCAATGCGAAAGGCGCTTTACAAATGTAATTTTGTTGTTGTTGTTCAGTGCCATTGATCTGTGCTCACTATCCAAATCCTTTCACACAAAATCCATATTAATTCCATTAGTTTAGATTAATCATTTCAAACCTTGCTTCCTGAGGTAAACTGTGGAGTCCTGTAGCTCAGTGGTTAGAGCGCTCGCCTCGCAAGCAAGAGACCCGGGTTTGATTCCCGTCAGGGTGAAATGTTGGGCAAGTTTGCTTACTCCACATGTCTTTGTTTACTTAGCAGTAAGTAGGAACCTGGATGTTAGTCGATTGGCGGATCACTTTTCCGGGGGTAATAATTACTTTTAAAAATAAATAATAAATTGGTCATTTTCAATCCACGACTGTTTGTGGGACACTGCTGTGTGCAATTGGCTGCTGCGTTTCGCCCACAAAATATACAGTCAATCCAGTTTACAATGTATGCTGTGATGCACTTTGAGACATCTTAATGATGTGATAAGGCTCTATATCAAATGCAAGGATTATTAATATTATTATTCAATATAAATTATCCAAATGCATTAGAGGTGGCTACCCTCTCCTCAATTCTGTTCCAATGCCAACAACCTAAAATATTTTTCTTCAGGATTTTGACTGCAGGAATGCAACTTTAGTGAAACCCAGAGGAAACCTCAATCCCACAAACTCGCTGTCCAAAGTATTAAAACAGAGAATGAATACCTCACCCAGGCAGTGCAAGGGTGGATTTGGTCTTGGGCACATTCTGCCACATTCGATGCTTAGAATATCTCTTAATTTCATGCCAATTCACTTTACAGTATATTCTGTGAAGCACTTTGGGATGTCTCAATGATGTGATAAGGTGCTATATTAAGTGCAAGGATTATTATTACTGTTATGAATTCTGACTTTCATGTTCCACGCTCTCAGTCAAACTTCGAAAAAAAATAATAATCATAATAATATAGTAATCCTTGCATTTAGATTAAGAATCCAAAACACTTCACAGAGTAAAGTATACCAACTGAATTTGTAGACAAACACAGGCTTGTGCTCACTTTCATGTTTTACAACTTCCCATTTCCTAACTTTCTACATACATGCAATTCTTTGAATAGGTTAAGGTGAATTCAATGGTTAGGTTTTATAAATGAGATTCAGCCAAAAATAATGTTTTTTTTAAATGGGAGAACAAAGGGAGAAAGGTGAATTGTGGATTGGTAGACTGCCTGGTGTCTTATGAAGTATAAGATTTGAGATAAAATTAAATCACTTCAGTGAATATAAAAATTCATGAGACGTATACTGTTCTCACTGATTTTACTCCTTCACTCCCTGCCCCCACGCTGAAAAATGAATGAAAGGAAAATGTATACGAATGCAACGGAAAAGCTAAAAATGACCTTTGATTTTCAATAATCAACTGAATTTTGAATAAATGAATGGATAGAAATTCCAACTGGGTCTAGATTTACTCTATTAATGCAGTATTTCAGAGCATACAGAATTTGATAAATTCTTAAATACAGTCTTAATTTTGAAACTGGTTTTCTGCAAATTCTTTCAAGAACTGAACTCAATAATTTACAACATTTTGGATGCATTGAAATACTTCATTAATAGTATAAATGTCACCCTAACAGGTGTTAAACATACTGAAGTGTTTTTTTCATTATTTGAATTGGAATGACATCGAAAGGCTGTTACATAGAAAATCACTTGGGTACATTTTCTTGTTTCAAAGAATATACATTTGGAGGAATTAACCGTAAATTACCTCTGCTGCGGAGAACTAATGGTTCCATAAAATTATAAGCTTAGATATAATGTCGTCAATGTCTGAAATTCCATTTAATACTTTTTTAAAAAGGCTAATAAGAATCTGTTTGTATAAATTTAAAATCTTTACTACTGTATAGCTGAATAATGGTCATACCTTGGTCTTTGTTCTGTGGTCCCTGTGAAGCGGGAGGTTCATCTCCAGGTGTTGTTTTGTCTTTCAAATAACTGCTTTTGTCTTGCTCAGGGTCACTGTTTTGAGTTGAGTCAGGAGAGAGTGAAGCAGGGATACTCTTTCCTCTGTTGCCATCCATGTTGTCTTCATTTGGCATGGTGGGTTCTTCACTTCTCCTCAACGAAGAGGTCTTGGTTGCACCAGGCTTCCTTCCTCCCAGCATGTTATCCAGAGATTTGGTTTTAACTTTGTTAGAAAACCTCACTTGTTTGCCAGGCGCATCCATCTTTGTGAAGCCATTGGAATCATCTGTTTGTTGTGGCAGTGCTCCCAAATCTTCAGCTGACCAATTTGGAGCCCACCTATAACGGCTTTCAGACTCCGTGGAGCTGGTACTAGGACTACGCTTTAAAATACCTTTTCTTTTTGATAGCTCGCTTTCTGCTCTCCCCGAAGCTAAGTTTGGCAAGCTTTGGTAATTGTTTCCCGATTTCTTGATTGGGTTGGTTACATTACTGATTAAATCTAGACTTGGGTTCATATTTTCATCCCTTTGTTGATCTTCCACTGTTAGCTTACTGGATTTCTTGGATGCTTCTGCCAAAGTTTCTGGTTTTAAATCTGAAGATTTTGAGGAAAACAAATCATCTAGCTCTGGAGATTTGATTGCAACACTCTCTTTCGGAGAATTTTCCATGATAGGTTCAGGGCTCTCTTCCTTTGGCACGTGGAAATCCTTCAGAATTTCTGACACCAACAACTGCCTTGAGACTGCCTGTTTCTGATTACTATCAGCATGGGGTATAAGGTCTTTTTCCTTTGGATCAAACAGATTGTCTTCCATTGACAGGGATGATGTTTTAGCCTGGCCACTCTTCTCTTCGAATTCTTGTAGGTTTACTAAATCGGGGGCTGATCCCTTTGAAACATGATTACGATCTGTTGATGTTGGGCTATGTTTAACAGACTTTACTTGCTCAGGCACCAAAGGCACAAAAGGATTTTTTGATTCCTCTGGAGAAACAATTGGCATAACACTTCCATCCAGAGCAGTGAAATGTTTTGTAGGAAAGAACAGATCATCTTGTGGAAAGTTTTTTTGCATTGATGGGAACATCTTTGGACTCACTTCATAATTGGAATATGGATTCATTGCAGATATCAGGTTATCGCCTTCTGAAACAGATGAGTCATTGTCAAACAGAAACACTTCATTGCTTGGGCAAGTATTTTCATCCTTCTTAGGAGAAGGTTGATAATTATTTTTGCTCCCAGACACTTTGATGCTTTCTTCTGTGAAAGTGTAATTATGAACATATGTTAAAAGGCAATAGATCCCAATATTCAACAGCTAATAGTATTCAGTTATAAAAATAGACGTTAGGAAACAGTAACTATGTATATTTCAAGTGGCAAATGAAAAGAATCACAGGTATATAATGTAATCTGTAACGGTGCAATTACAGTGTATGTCTAACCCATCAATAAACTCAACAGATAGGTTGGGACCAAGTCAAGAGGTGCATTGCTGATACAATTACAAGACGTTATCAGTTCAATGATCAATTAAATCATCGTTTGAAAAATATAATAGTGTGTTTTGAACTATAAAAAGTAATGAACTGCTTAGAGCATTTGTTGGGTTTAGTAGGAAAGGCAGAAGAACAAAATGATGTAGCAAAAACGAAAGATACAAAAGAGATCCAGATTTGCTTCTCTTGGTACTGATTCATTTCCAGCAGATTAAACAGGATATGAGTCTTTAGAGGGAAAGAAGTTTACTAGCCTTGTTATTTTCTGTACTTTCTCTCTTGTTCATCTTATTGAGTCTAATAGATGAGCTACAACAACAACAATGTGCACTTATATAGCACACTCCACGCAGAGTAGCGTCTCAGAGTGCTTAACAGTGTCGGAGCCTGACTTTGAACTGGAGAGGAGGTGATTAGGTGGCCATAAGCATGGTCAAAGAGGAAGATTTTCATGCTGGTCTTGAAAAAGCGGAGAGAGGGGGCAAAGTTGGAGGGATTGAGGGAGAGAGTTTTGAGGCGCAGTGGCTGAAAGCGTGAACTCTGATGGTGGGGCGAAGCGTGTGAGCGATGAGCAGGAGGCTGGTGCCAGTCGAGCGGAGGCGCTGGGTGGTGGATTGGGGAGTGAGGAGGTCGGAGAGGTAGGGAGGTGCCAGGGAGTGAAGGGATTTGAACATGAGAGTGAGGATCTTGAAGTCGATCCGGTCAGTGATGGGGAGCCAGTGGAGCCTGGCCAGAATTGGTGAGGTGTGGGTACGGAGTTTGGTCCGGGTCAGTATGCTGACGGCAGAGTTTTGAATGAGCTGGATCCTTTGAATGGTGGAGCTGGGGAGACCGGCGAGGAGTGGTTGGAGTATCCAAGTGGGAGGTGACAAACGCATGCATGAGGGTTTCGGCTGTATATGGGGTAAGGTATGGTTGACGGGGGGCAATGTGCCAGAGGTGGAAGAAAGCGGTCCTGGTTAGAGACCGGATTTCAGGGAGGAAGGATAGCTGGGGGTCGAACCGGAAACCTAGATTGCACAGTGCGAGTCTGAGGGAGAGCCCAGGGAGGTTGAGGAGTTTAGATCACCTTCAGGAGTGAAGGTGTTGACGGGAGCCAAGGAATATGACTTCCCTCTTGTCCATAGTCAGTTACAGGAAGTTTGCACTCATCCAGGCCCTAATGTCTGCCAGACAAGCTGGTAGAACATCGGTGGACCTGTAGTTGGTACTAGAGGAGGCAAAGTAGATTTGTGTGTCATCCGCATACATTATGCTTAAGAGCAGGGATGGCCAACTTGTAGGCCATGGGCCTTATGCGGGCCACATTCCGCATGCATAAAATAGTCACATAGACAGCATGGAAATTCACGTGTCTGGAATGGAATATGCACTCTTGCCCTAGAGGACGCACCCTTCTTATCTAATTCCAGAGAAAATTTTGTATAGGGTTCACAAGAGCTAAGGCTTGGTAGGTTGTACTGCTGGGGCTTAAAACCGCATCCACTTGCCGTTGAAAGCATTGGCTGACAAACTTCAGGCTGCTTATCCGGTTGAGAATACCATACCAATTAGGGCTGTGACTTATAGGGTTAACAGGAGCTGCATGGGAAGAATCCCTGCTCCCAGCTGCCCCTCCACATCCTTCAAATGAGCCAAGTTGGTCACAAACAGTGCCCTGGAGTACTGCAGACCCACAGAGGGTTGACTCAATCCTAACAATCCATTGTGAAGCATGTCACCTTGGAGTCAGTTCAACTCCAAGGTGAACCTACTTACCCCCCCACCCCCACCAAGAGGGTAGTCCAGAATGTAGTTGGATAACATCAATGGAAATCATTCTTAAAGCTTGTCCACATGAGAAATTGCTTTTCTCAGAGCCAAAGTAAAGAATAACAAACTACCCAAGTTCAAGATGAATATTCTGCATCTGGGGATTACATTAAGATATGCGAAGCTTTGAGCAAGGGAACAGGGTATTCTAATAATACTTTCTCACTTCACCTTCTGAAGCAAAGCATTTCCATTCAAAATAGTTAACCCTTGATAGAAATAAGTTTATCATCTTTCTCAACCCTCTTCTGATTGAAGTAGATTTTATTCCTCATTCTTATCCTTTTGAGTATCCAGACTGGAAATATTTCCTCACATAAAAGTCTTTCCTGCCTATACTGACCACCACCCTATCAGACCAGAAAATATTTCCTGTTGCTTTTATAGACACACATATTGCAAAATGTATTTGAGGTAGCTGTCGACACACTGACATTGCAAGCATCAAACCAAAGGCGAGTCAGGAAACTGCGATAATCCTGGTTAGAATTTGAAAGTCAAACTGAATTCCATCAAATTAAACCTGTGTTTCTGTCACCGTTCTGAATTTCAATTTTAAAATCCATCGAAAATGCAATGAAATGATCTCTAAAATACATGACTTGGTTTTGAAACAATTACCCATAGACAGAACCTAAGAATGGGCCATGACAATTGATTTGAAACTTAAAAAAAGAACTGCTTTGACCTCTCTTTGTTTTTATATACGGTTATATATATATTAGGATTTTGTACACAGCTATGCCAATAAATGTCAAAATGTTATTCACATTTATGCACTCAAGTGGAGTTTACAGACTATTCAATAGACCGGTATTTTCATTAGTTCCTTATGCATTTGAGTGTCAGGAGTGAAATTAATTTCCTGCAGTAACCTGATCTACCTCAATCAGTGACCCAAAAGGAAAAGTTTGTCAGGGTGCTGGTCTACAGTTCTATCTCCATCTCTCAGCCTCATTGTGAGTGTGTTTCAACCTCATGGTGAGCATGTCTGCACCTCACAGTAAGTTTTTCTCAATCCTATATCCACATCATGGTGAGTCTGTCTCCATAATGGTCAGGCCGCAGTTGCAATAGTTAATGCAATTTGGGGCTTCTCATTATAGGAACAATGTTAAGGCCCCAAAGATGGTACAGAAAAAATTTACCAGGATGTTGCCTGGAATGAGGAAATGCAGTTATAGGGAAAGCCTTGATACACTGAGGCTTTTTGGAGCTCAAAAGCCTGAGAAGGAAGATGATAGAGGGAAATAAGATAATGAGAGGCTCAGCTAGGATGAACAGGGAAAGATAATGTTCAGGGTCAGGAGGTCTCGAACTACAGGGCATAGTTTTAGAATCAGAACCTGAACAGAGATTAGGAAAATATTTTTCACACAGAGTGGTAGGAATGTGGAATTATCTGACAGTCAGCTGTTGGGGTTGTAACAATGTGCACATTCAAAAAATGACTGGACACATGGTTAAAAGAGAATAAATTTGAGCAATATGGACTAAGGATAGGATCGCTGTGAAGTATAAACACCAGCTTGAATGGATGGGCCAAATGGCCTGTTTCTTAGCTCTATTGTAAACATCACTGTGGGCGTATCTTCACATCACAGTGAGTGTCTCCACGTCATTAACAGTTCAGGAAATAAGTCGCTGGGGGAATGAGAGCCACTCTGTCTTTAGCAGTTCTCAGTTATGTGTATTTCAGCATTAATGAAAATATATATGCATTCATGTTAATATTTGAGCTGGCAAAGATTCAAGAAGCTAGAAATGTAAATGGATTTCAAGTTATTAAAATATATGGTACTTGGAGCTGTACCGGTCCATAAATGTAAACTTTAATTCCCATTAATCGGATTTCAAGGTGTTGAGCAAAATTTCCAGAGGGAGGGAAAAGTTACTACATAGAAAGAAATGAGGCTCAGTCAAATGTTTGCTTTTTTTTAACAAGAGCAAGATTAAAATGAACCAGACACACTAGACATATAGTAATGGATTATTGTATACTGTCACATTTAACAGTGTGTGTATATACACCGAGTACTCAATATTAAATCATTGAATATGAAATTCTTAACTTTAGTGAGCAGAACAAATATGACTCTGGACTCAATTAAGAAATGCTTGATGCTGTAATTGGAAGATAGGAGAGTGGGTATTCTCAAAGCATGAGATCAAATTGGTTTGAAAGAACTTTTTTAATCAGATCACTCTTGTGAATTTGTCTGATATGTTCATAAGCATGTTGCGTGATTTGTCAGCCTGATTCAGATGGTAGGACTCCTGCCTCTAAATCAGAAGGTCATGGGCTCAAGTCCCACAATGAAACTTTGAACTCACAGCCTGGGCTGACACTTCAATGTAGTGCTGGAGGTCCTGCAGCTGAGATGTTAAACCAAGATCCTGAGTTGCCTAGGTGGACGTTAACAATCCCAAGGCACTGCTCAAGACGAGAAGGGAGTTTTTTCTAGTTTCCTGACCAACAATTCCTCAAATAAAATTGGCTGTTCATTTCATGGCTGTTTGTGAGGCATTGCTGTGTCCACACTGCCAGTCACATTTACCTACAAAATACACAGTCACTACAGTAAATATTATAAAGTGCTTTGAGACATTCTCCCAACATAAAAAGGTGCCTCATCAAATGCAAGAGTTATTATTATCCTTGGCGCTTGCCAACCTGCACTTAAGAGTCTCCAAAATTAGGTTAGCAGGATACATAACTTCAGGAAAAGAGTTGGAATTGTTCCATTCCAACAAATATCTCTGGAATTTCCATGTGTAGTGAGGTTGCATGGAATTTTCAGTTTGGTTTGGGTACTCTTCAGTGCTGTGATT